CCGCTCGCCTTGCGCCCGCCTCCTGGCAGCGGGGCCGCGGCGCCCCGGGGATGCAGCGTCCCCCGGGATGCGGGAGGGAGGGGGGGGCGGTGCGGGGCTGGGGTTTGGGGCTGGAAATCACGGAAAAGGAGGAAAATCGGGGGTCCCCGCAACAGGCAGCTGCCTGACATCTCCGGCTGGGATAAGTTATAGGCTGTAACGTCCTGTTGGTGCAGAGGGGATTATTTTGGACATATTTGAGGGCTCCCTATAGACCTCATCACCTTGGCTCCCTCAAAAAAATAGCTGGTTAAAAGATACCTAAAGGTATCAATGCTGGTGCCAGGGCTGTTTAAACGCCTTACCTTCCAACCAGGGGAATGGGAAAAACGCACCTTTATATAGATTTGCTGGTGGTATCAAACTGGGGGGGGAGCGGTTGGGTGTGATGGAGGGTGGGAAAGATGGAGCAGGCTAATGAGAACATAGAATGGTTTAGGTTGGAAGGGATCATCTAGTTCCATCCCCCTGCCATGGGCAGGGGCACCTCCCACCAGACCAGGTTGCTCCAAGCCCCCTCCAACCTGGCCTTGAACCCCTCCAGGGATGGGGCAGCCACAGCTTCCCTGGGCAACCTGGGCCAGGCTCTCACCCCCCTCATAGTGAAAAATTCCTCCCTAATGTCTAATCTAAATCTCCCCTCTTCCATTTTGAAGCCAATATCACGGAGTTCAGCATCGGCAAATGCCTAGTCCTGCACTGGGGAGGTAAGAAACATGGGAAAGGGATCAACACACCAAGCGGCTGGTCCTAGATGGAAAGGACAGAGGTGTGGTGGTCCACATTATATGCCAGGTGAAGACAGAGTCTAGAAAATTATACCATGGACAAGATTTAGGATATGGAGCAAGGAGAAAAGGCCAAGGACTGAAGACACCAACAAAGGAACACTGTATAGACTCCCCAGTGCAATCCACACCCAAGTTGCCTCTTTTCAGACCACTTTTACAACCTGTTTCTCCTCACTTCTGGGCTGAGGATGCCTCATTTTCCCTGCCCTTGGTTTTGTTTCCCCTTTCCAGCAAATCCCTCTGGCTCTTCCTGCTGCCAGGCTGTGCAGCCGGAGGGAGGAAAGGTATCACCACAGGTATATCACAGAATCACAGAATCGTAGTGGTTGGAAGGGACCTCAGAGATCAAATATATATATATATATAATATATATATATATATATATATCCCATTATACGTCTGCTTGAGGGTGGTCTGGGGATGATTCTTCACACAATAGAGTGAGAAATAATGCTGGAAGACTGAATGATGCTAAAACACAGACCCACCCGTGTGGGACTTGATCCATATACATTTCAAACGCACATCAAAACGCCTCTCTCCACGTTCCTGACTCCCCCCAGCAGCAAGATTCTTCTCTCTGAACTCTCATTACGGATTCCCAATTTCTTTGTTGTCATCCACACCTTCCGATCTGACCTAGTTACAGCCATTCCAGTTGAAGGTAACCATAGAAACAAAGAACCCACCAGACTGCATCCCTTCTTGTTCCGAACATCACCTGATTGCTGCACCCTGTCTTTCTAGCTTGGAATCTGGAATTCTGTGCCTGCAAAACACTGGATCCAACATCCTTTATTTCCCTCCCTTTAGCAATGCCACAGCCGAGGCATCACGTAAGGCATCCCTGCTTCCACACATTTCCACTGTGACCCATGAAAGAAAAGGCTCCTTTCCCATCTCAGCAAAAATTAGGTTGCCCTGTGTATTGGCTGCTGCCCATCTCACAAACATAGCCATAAAAGGCATTAATAAATAAAGTTTGGCATCTTTTTAAATTTAACCGTTATATTCAGAACAGTGCAGTAATTATTTCAATTTCTATTTTTTTTTTCTGATTATCTACTGCACAAAAGAACAGTTGTCCTAAATGTAGTTGATAGTTTCAGTTTGACTTTTCATCAGGAATACAGGGGGGGCACTGGTCAGTTTCCTTTTTCCTATATACCACATTAAAATAATAATAATAATATCTATCTTCCTACACAATTTAAACCTTTGGAAACTTGTTTTAGCGGGTGTGAACAGTAGCCAAAAAGCACCACCGAGCCTGATAAACTGCGGTCTTGTTCCCCGTGTTCCTCCTCTGATTTCAGCAGGACCAGAAGCCATAAGGGATATTTACACCTCATTAGTGGATTTTCCCAGACAAATTACGCACACACAGAGCCCTTGGAATTACTTACAAAGCTTCTTCTGATATAAAATCTGTGGCTCTGTTCCTTTTCCCCTCAGTGGATGATTCAGCCCAAGAT